CCCCACACTCCCCCCCCCCCACCGTGCACCCCCTCCCCCCCTCCCCCCCGGGCCCACACTCCCCCCCCCTCCCCCCTCCTGGCCCCCCTTACTCCCCTCGTGCCCCCCCATCCCCCCCCCGTGCCCCCCCTCCTCCCCACCAATACCACCACCACTACCACCACCACCACCCCGCTCCACGCCCACCAACGGAGTGGAGCTGACGAGAGCTCTGCTCCACTCAGCCCCCTGCGCATTGTCAGAGTCGTGGTTGAGACTGCAGGAGGGGTAGAATTAATTTGCTTGGCAGTGGCTGTGTAGAGGATGAGGTGCTCGTGTTTAATTAATGAGCAGCGTTGCGGGATGCAGTGAGCACGAATGACGCTGTACACAACTACATTGTTGTTGTTGTTTGTGTTCTGTATTTTTATTGTAGAATCGACGATACAAGCTTCACATTGCCACGGTCGTAGACGTACATTTATACTTTTAAAAACCAATATTATTGTTTGGACGTAAAACGTTTCTTGACTGATGACGGCCGCTTGTGTTGCGATCAAAACGTCATGAATTTTTGGTTTCACATATGTATTTAATGTTCATTTATATTTTTTTTCATATTTTTCTTATTTTTTCTTTTTTTCTATCTACGTGACTTTACCGAAAGAACGTAACGAATATAATATTATTGTTGTTGTGTCTCTCCCACAACCCATGACACCACCAGTGAATAAACACATCCCAGTTCACCATTGCTAATCACTGCACCCTACACCACAGTCACACTCTTCTGGCAGGGTGAATACATCCACGTTGGCTTCACACACACACAGAGCGATACCTATTTTATCACCCCCCCCCCCCTAATGAAGGTTGTGAGGATTCTTTACGCTCAGCCCCCCCGTTGTGATGGAGAGCCACGCAGCCCCTAGCCACCGATAGCCACCAGCCAGTCACGGGCGTGGCGGTGACGAGGGTGGCGAGCGCCGTGCGTCGTGGTGGCGTCTGCCCTCTGCGCTGTTCACGTTCACCTCTCTCAGGACGCACCACTCAGATCCACAATCCTCACTGAGGCACCTTTACCCACCAGCAGCCCAGGGTGTAGGGGCTGAGTGAAAGTTTTATTAAACGAGTGCAACAGCGCCATGGAGTCGGCGCTGTAAAATGACAGCAGCCCCGCGTCCCAGTCCAGGTGGACCCCGACTCTCCGCGGAGGCTGCGGCATTGACAGTGACGTCACTACCCCGCCATGCAGCACTGAGAAGATGTCGTCAGCTTTCCGTAGACACCAGGAGACGTCGCTCCCTCCCAGGAGGCACTCAGCACCACTCCCTCTCCGTGGGATCGTCCCGTACGCGACTCCAACCAGACACCGCCTCGCGCTCCCCACGTCCACCTCCCAGTAGTGCTGACCCGACGAGAAGCTCTCAGAGCACAGGGCTTGTTGCAGGCACTCAAAGCGGTGTGGGTGATGGGGGCGACCCTGGGAGACACGGCTCCACGTCATCGTCCTGAGGTCCGAGGAAATCTCGAGGTCGTTGCTGGCTGAGTTTGTGTCCAGAGTCGGTGAGCGTCCATCTGTGGTGAGTATTAGTGTACACATACTAATATTAGTTAGTATTAGTGTACACATACTAATATTAGTTAGTGTTAGTGTACACATACTAATATTAGTTAGTATTAGTGTACACACACTAATATTAGTTAGTATTAGTGTACAAATACTAATATTCGTTAGTATTAGTGTACACATACTAATATCAGTTAGTATTAGTGTAAACACACCAATATTCGTTAGTATTAGTGTACACATACAATTATTAGTTAGTGTTAGTGTACACATAGTAATATTAGTTAGTGTTAGTGTACATATACTAATATTAGTTAGTATTAGTGTACACATACTAATATTAGTTAGTATTAGTGTACACATACTAATATTCGTGAGTGTTAGTGTACATATACTAATATTAGTTAGTATAAGTGTACACATACTAATTTTAGTTAGTATTAGTGAACACAAACTAATCTTCGTTAGTATTAGTGTACACATACTAATATTCGTTAGTATGTGTACACATACTAATATTAGTTAGTATTAGTGAACACAAATTAATATTCGATAGTAATAGTGTACACATACTAATATTCGTTAGTATTAGTGTACACATACTAATATTCGTTAGTATTAGTGTACATATACTAATATTAATTAGTATAAGTGTACACATACTAATATTAGTTAGTATAAGTGTACACATACTAATATTCGTTAGTATTAGTGTACACATACTAATATTCGTTAGTATAAGTGTACACATACTAATATTCGTTAGTATTAGTGTACACAAACTAATATTAGTTAGTATTAGTGTAAACATACTAATATTCGTTAGTATTAGTGTACACATACTAATATTCGTTAGTATTAGTGTACACATACTAATATTCGTTAGTATTAGTGTACACAAACTAATATTAGTTAGTATTAGTGTAAACATACTAATATTCGTTAGTATTAGTGTACACATACTAATATTCGTAAGTATTAGTGTACACATACTAATATTCGTTAGTATTAGTGTACACAAACTAATATTCGTTAGTATTAGTGTACACAAACTAATATTCGTTAGTATTAGTGTACACATACTAATATTCGTTAGTAATAGTGTACACACACTGATATTCGTTAGTATTAGTGTACACAAACTAATATTCGTTAGTATTAGTGTACACAAACTAATATTAGTTAGTATTAGTGTACACAAACTAATATTCGTTAGTATTAGTGTACACAAACTAATATTCGTTAGTATTAGTGTACACATACTAATATTAGTTAGTGTTAGTGTACACATACTAATATTAGTTAGTGTTAGTGTACACACACTAATATTCGTTAGTATTAGTGTACACACACTAATATTCGTTAGTATTAGTGTACACATACAAATATTCGTTAGTATTAGTGTACACAAATTAATATTCGTTAGTATTAGTGTACACACACTAATATCCGTTAGTATTAGTGTACACACACTAATATTCGTTAGTATTAGTGTACACATACTAATGTTCGTTAGTATTAGTGTACACAAACTAATATTAGTTAGTATTAGTGTACACATACTAATATTCGTTAGTATTAGTGTACACATACTAATATTCGTTAGTATTAGTGTACACATACTAATATTCGTTAGTATTAGTGTACACAAACTAATATTAGTTAGTATTAGTGTACACACACTAATATTCGTTAGTATTAGTGTACACATACAAATATTCGTTAGTATTAGTGTACACAAATTAATATTCGTTAGTATTAGTGTACACACACTAATATCCGTTAGTATTAGTGTACACACACTAATATTCGTTAGTATTAGTGTACACATACTAATATTCGTTAGTATTAGTGTACACAAACTAATATTAGTTAGTATTAGTGTACACACACTAATATTCGTTAGTATTAGTGTACACACACTAATATTCGTTAGTATTAGTGTACACACACTAATATTCGTTAGTATTAGTGTACACACACTAATATTCGTTAGTATTAGTGTACACACACTAATATTCGTTAGTATTAGTGTACACACACTAATATTCGTTAGTATTAATGTACACAAATTAATATTCGTTAGTATTAGTGTACACATACTAATATTCGTTAGTATTAGTGTACACACACTAATATTCGTTAGTATTAGTGTACACATACTAATATTCGTTTGTATTAGTGTACACACACTAATATTCGTTAGTATTAGTGTACACAAATTAATATTCGATAGTAATAGTGTACACATACTAATATTCGTTAGTATTAGTGTACACACACTAATATTCGTTAGTATTAGTGTACACACACTAATATTCGTTAGTATTAGTGTACACACACTAATATTCGTTAGTATTAGTGTACACACACTAATATTCGTTAGTATTAGTGTACACACACTAATATCCGTTAGTATTAGTGTACACACACTAATATTCGTTAGTATTAGTGTACACATACTAATATTCGTTAGTATTAGTGTACACAACTAATATTAGTTAGTATTAGTGTACACACACTAATATTCGTTAGTATTAGTGTACACACACTAATATTCGTTTGTATTAGTGTACACACACTAATATTCGTTAGTATTAGTGTACACACACTAATATTCGTTAGTATTAGTGTACACACACTAATATTCGTTAGTATTAATGTACACAAATTAATATTCGTTAGTATTAGTGTACACATACTAATATTCGTTAGTATTAGTGTACACACACTAATATTCGTTAGTATTAGTGTACACATACTAATATTCGTTAGTATTAGTGTACACATACTAATATTAGTTAGTATTAGTGTACACATACTAATATTCGTTAGTATTAGTGTACACAAATTAATATTCGATAGTAATAGTGTACACATACTAATATTCGTTAGTATTAGTGTACACAAATTAATATTCGATAGTAATAGTGTACACAAACTAATATTCGTTAGTATTAGTATACGCACACTAATATTCGTTAGTATAAGTGTACACAAACTAATATTCGTTGGTATTATTGTACATATACTAATATTAGTTAGTTTTAGTGTACACACACTAATATTAGTTAGTATTAGTGTACACATACTAATATTAGTTAGTGTTAGTGTACACATACTAATATTAGTTAGTATTAGTGTACACATACTAATATTAGTTAGTGTTAGTGTACACATACTAATATTAGTTAGTATTAGTGTATACACACTAATATTAGTTAGTATTAGTGTACACATACTAATATTAGTTAGTGTTAGTGTACACATACTAATATTAGTTAGTGTTAGTGTACACATACTAATATTAGTTAATATTAGTGTACACATACTAATATTAGTTAGTATTAGTGTACACACACTAATATTAGTTAGTATTAGTGTACACATACTAATATTAGTTAATATTAGTGTACACATACTAATATTAGTTAGTATTAGTGTACACATACTAATATTAGTTAATATTAGTGTACACATACTAATATTAGTTAGTATTAGTGTACACACACTAATATTAGTTAGTATTAGTGTACACATACTAATATTAGTTAATATTAGTGTACACACACTAATATTAGTTAGTGTTAGTGTACACACACTAATATTAGTTAATATTAGTGTACACATACTAATATTAGTTAGTATTAGTGTACACACACTAATATTAGTTAGTGTTAGTGTACACATACTAATATCAGTTAGTATTAGTGTACACACACTAATATTAGTTAGTATTAGTGTACACATACTAATATTAGTTAGTGTTAGTGTACACATACTAATATTAGTTAGTGTTAGTGTACACATACTAATATTAGTTAGTATTAGTGTACACATACTAATATTAGTTAGTATTAGTGTACATATACTAATATTAGTTAGTGTTAGTGTACACATACTAATATTATTTAGTATTAGTGTACACATACTAATATTAGTTAGTGTTAGTGTACACATACTAATATTAGTTAGTATTAGTGTACACATACTAATATTAGTTAGTATTAGTGTACACATACTAATATTAGTTAATATTAGTGTACACACACTAATATTCGTTAGTATTAGTGTACACATACTAATATTCGTTAGTATTAGTGTACAGAAACTAATATTAGCTAGTATCTGCATACACATACTGTTAATCACTCGTGAATAATAATAATAAGTGAATAATAAAAATAAATAGTGAATAATAAATAATATTAATAATAAGTGCTACACTAACATGACCATGTGTGTGTGTACAGTGGCAGTGAACAGCGGTGATGATGCCAGCACCACGATGTTGACGCCACTCCCACACCCACACACAGACATTGTGTGTCACAGCCTCGCACACTCTCACATCATCGCACAGACATTGTGTCACAGCCTCGCACACTCTCACATCCACACACAGACATTGTGTGTCACAGCCTCGCACACTCTCACATCCACACACACATTGTGTGTCACAGCCTCGCACACTCTCACATCCACACACACACACATTGTGTGTCACAGCCTCGCACACTCTCACATCCACACACACACACATTGTGTGACACAGCCTCGCACACTCTCACATCTACACACAGACATTGTGTGTCACAGCCTCGCACACTCTCACATCCACACACACACACATTGTGTGACACAGCCTCGCACACTCTCACATCCACACACACACACATTGTGTGACACAGCCTCGCACATTCCCACACCCACACACAGACATTGTGTGTCACAGCCTCGCACACTCTCACATCCACACACACACACATTGTGTGTCACAGCCTAGCACACTCTCACATCCACACACACACACATTGTGTGTCACAGCCTCGCACACTCTCACATCCACACACACACACATTGTGTGTCACAGCCTAGCACACTCTCACATCCACACACACACACATTGTGTGTCACAGCCTCGCACACTCTCACATCCACACACACACATTGTGTGTCACAGCCTAGCACACTTTCACATCCACACACACACACATTGTGTGTCACAGCCTCGCACACTCTCACATCCACACACACACATTGTGTGTCACAACCTCGCACACTCTCACATCCACACACAGACATTGTGTGTCACAGCCTCGCACACTCTCACACCCACACACAGACATTGTGTGTCACAGCCTCGCACACTCTCACATCCACACACAGACATTGTGTGTCACAGCCTCGCACACTCTCACATCCACACACACACATTGTGTGTCACAGCCTCGCACACTCTCACATCCACACACAGACATTGTGTGTCACAGCCTCGCACACTCTCACACCCACACACAGACATTGTGTGTCACAGCCTCGCACACTCTCACACCCACACACACACATTGTGTGTCACAGCCTCGCACACTCTCACATCCACAGACAGACATTGTCTGTGAGCGCCTCCCCTCGCCGTGCGCATCCAGGGGGGGGGGGGGTTATTTGACCATACTTCACCGCTCTCGTCAGTGCTCGTTGGCGATGGTGGGGCTCGTGAAGGTGGAAGCGTAGAGGTGCAGTACAACAATGGTTCACGCTGCACTGCCCTCTGCTTGTGTGATGTGTAAACATTTGACACGAGGGAGACAAAGGCGGCCGGGCGTGGTGCCTCTTTATCACTGGGCTGACTCTCGATCTGCCCGATGTCATCTCCCTCACCTGGTATGCAGGAGCTTGTAGGTTTGATCCCGACCCTGACCATGACTGCCGCTCCTGTATATTTGGAGTCTGTGTCTCTCATCATCACAGTGGTCAGGGAGATGTTAACAACCTCGCCAGGTATACAGGAGGTCATGGGTTCGATCCCGACCTTGACGGTGCCTGCTGTTGCTGTTGTATATTTGGAGTGTTTGTGTCTATCTCCCAGTGGTGGTCGCGTGGAATTTTCTCCGCATCCTCCAATTATTTGCTTCACATTTAGACTCAACTGAATGCGTTAAGATCATTTGGTTGCTACTATAAATTTCCATGTGATAATCGACTTAGTTGAGTTGTCATTTGCGGCCAGTTTCCTTGTGAAAAAGAGCCACATAGCTCAGTGGATCTTACCTGCTAAAATTTTTTTTTAAGATTCACGCCCCAAGGACACGCCACCTGTCTTAAACAAAGGGCAACAGCCTACCGAGCGGTGCCGGTCTGAATCTTGGTGTTTGTCATGAACGATGTTGACAGAGGTCAGTGCAGAGAGAGACTCACACACGAGAGCCACGCGCTTCGTATTCACTCCTCCTAGCGAGATGACCTTTGTGAGCTCTTGGGGACTGAATGTGGGAGGAGGCGCATCTTGGATTCCCTGCGCGTCCAAGATCCTGCACTCAGCACGGGACACGCAGAGTCTATGGAGGGTACAGTCCCTCCACTCACGCAGCACGGGACACGCAGAGTCTATGGAGGTGCAGTCCCTCCACTCACGCAGCACGGGACACGCAGAGTCTATGGAGGGTACAGTCCCTCCACTCACGCAGCACGGGACACGCAGAGTCTATGGAGGGTACAGTCCCTCCACTCACGCAGCACGGGACACGCAGAGTCTATGGAGGTGCAGTCCCTCCACTCACACAGCACGGGACACGCAGAGTCTATGGAGGTGCAGTCCCTCCACTCACTCAGCACGGGACACGCAGAGTCTATGGAGGTGCAGTCCCTCCACTCACTCAGCACGGGACACGCAGAGTCTATGGAGGTGCAGTCCCTCCACTCACTCAGCACGGGACACGCAGAGTCTAATGCAGGTCCATGTCTCTTGACATACGAACAATACGGGATACAACTGCATACAATTGGGTTTATTAGGAATCACATCTCGACCGTTCACTGATTTGTCCACCAGGTGGCAGACAGAGCTCGAGTTTGAGTCTGGGTTTGTACTGACCTGAGATTCTCATGCAGGGGATCCTGAAAAACACAAACCCGCATTACACATTAACATTGACATCTTAAACAGATGCCCCAACTCCACACAGTCACCTGCCGCTTACAATGGAGCACAACATCAAGGAATTAATAAATACCTGCAACCAGAGAATGATGAAAAACAGTTATCTATGGGACCTATTTGCCAATATTGATATGATGAAAAAAGTAGGAAGTGACTTTATAATGTATGGCAATTAAATTAGGAGGTGTTAACATGTTCTTGTTCTTAACACCTAACAGATTCCTATTGCAAGGTATCACTGCTCAACCAGAGCTATTAATACTTTGATACTTGCATTGCCTTTGTACTGTTAAGCCTCACCATGGCACCTCCTTTGCCAGTACCAAAATATGAGAATAGGATTTCCCCTTTTTTCTGGCAACAAAACAAGTGTTAAGATGTTAAAACACCAAACTGAAACCTTTTACAAGGAATCATGTCTGCATTAACCACAATGCCTTTGGTCAGAATTCAAACCAAAAACACACTCTGATAATATATGTGGCATCGTCCTTGAAACTGATTGTTCCACACCAGAGAAAGCTTTCTTTTGGGCCTCGTCTCAAACATTGTTAGGCCAGAGGACGCCAAAAGGCGTATGTCAAAAGAAAACTGTCTCTGGGGTGGACAAATCAGTTTCAAGAACAATGCATACAGTATATTATCAGAGTATGTTTTTTGTATGCATTCTAACCATACATATTGTGGTTAATGCAGACATGATTCTTCGTAAAGGTTTCAGTTTGGTCTTTAACATCTTAACACCTGTTTTGTTGCCAGAAAAAAGGGGAAAAACCTATTATCTATTCGAAGCAAATTTCCCTAAACACCTGATGTTGATTCTAAATGTGGAGGGAAAACCCAGAGGACCACGCATCTACAAGGAGAGAGAGGCGCAAACTCCAAATTAACAGCAGATGTCAGGGTTGGTATCGAACCCACGACCTCCTGCATATCAGGCGAGGTAGTTAGCATCTCCTAGCCACCACGGCGAGTGAATGGAGGTGGTACCACCTGCAGGAAGGAGAGCGGGTCCTGCACGGCGAGGGCGGCGAGCAGCTGGTTGATCTCCTGCTCCAGGCCACGTGCTCTGCTCTCGTAGCGAGCGATGTCCGCCTGGATGCGGGACAGCACGGAGCGGCCCTCCTCGTCCACGCGCTCCAGCACCTCCCTCTCCTCCTGCCTTAGCTGCTCCCTCCGGCGCTCAAACTCTCGGCTGATCCGCGCCTTGATCCCACGCACAGACTCCTACGCAGACAATGGCGAGTTGTTGAGTCACTTGTTAGGAAACGATGCAATGTAGTGTTGTACAGGTAATGATTGTTACCATGCCTCGATTAAGTACACGGAGGTGAGCGACGTGTGCATTGGGAGCTCGTGAGCATATAAAGCACAGGGAGAATGAGAATGGGATATAAGGGGAAAATATCATGGGCAAGGGTAGTATAGGAATTACTTCTGTCTGTAGCTACACGTTGCTGAGTTTCAATCTGGGGGAAATTAAATACATCTCTATGGGTATCATTCGCTTCTGTCTGTCTGTCCGTCCAACTCTGGATTTACCAAACGATGCGTCGGATGGAAACGTGAATTAAATCAAAACCAAGTCTCTTGCCGAGGACATTCCCAGGAAAGTGTGTCAAAGTTTCTGCGAATATACAGAACAAATTTACGTCATATTGCTCTTGTTTTAAATTAAAATGTGCTGAAAGAGTCAAACAATGCTGATTTCGAAGGCAATACTCACGTCCACTCTCCCGGGCCCTCAGGCTAAGTTGATGTGGTTCAGATTTGGGGAAGCCAGAAGGGAGGAATTGCAACATTCCATAGCAAGCATCGTGGTTGTGATCAATAAAGGAATCGACAGGGCAAGTCGCCAACGCATCGTCCAGCGTGGATCGATTCTGCCCCCCCAAATCAAAACTGATGTCATGTTGAAAGTTACGTCATAAATGAAGTTTCCGTGTCATACCGTGGTGGCCTTTTATTCACGTAGTAAACGTGTTTTGCAATTCTGGCCGTCCTAAACTGGTTGTAATGTTTCCCACATTTTTTTGTCCTGATGTGTAAAAATACACTTAAGCAATACACTTAATTGAAGATTAAAGTTTCATGAAGCTTATGCGCTCAAAAAATGGGTTTTCAAAAAAGTGCTGACAGACAAACACAGTTACGAACTCACACTTTGCTTCGTTACAGTGTGATGTCGTTGATTTTGTAGATTCATAGCAGGCAGCAAGCGAATTGTCATTGGGAAACGATTTTCTTGAAATCCACACCGCTTGCAATTCACCAAAGTTGTATGCCGCGCCGACGCGTTGGGCAGTGCTCGTCAATAGTAAGAGTTACTTCAGCAGTTTTTTTCTTGCTGTGGTTGTCCCACCTGATGACGATTGCTTGTGTTGCGATCGAAACGTCGTGATCTATTATTTTTTCTACTTACGTGACTTTACCGAAATAACCAAAGAGTTAAATAAGAGTATGGTTTAATTAAATACGATTCTTAGGCAAACCAGAAGAGGGAATTGCGCGGCTGCCATCTCTCGCTGTACCTCCACGCGCCGGTAGTCGTCCCTGAGTGTCCGTGCCCGTGACGTCGCCGTGTTCCTCTTCTCCTCTCTCCCCTTCTTCTTGACTCTGAGCTCCTCCTGCATGTGGTAAATAAATCAATAAAAACGCGGTGCTCACCATTGCCATTGGTGGATCACTGATTGATCATCCCGCATCTCTGATTAGCACGGTTGGCTATGAAATAAGTTCAACACACATACACACATCTGTTGTCATTCTATTTCTGCATACGTCTCCATTCATATTTTTACTTTTCCCACGATTGTATCCCGACTACACTGTCCGTGTCATCTATTGAGATGAAGAATCCAATCGTAACTACTGCAGAGCAATGCAATATCTGGTTAACAACATCATTGACAATATCACGTACAGTCTAAAATATGTTTTTAACCTCTACCAGCGATGGGTGTAGTTGCTTCTCACACGCCCTGCTATACATAACAACGTTTCTCAATTAGTCAATCAAAGATTATGAATTCTCACGCAAAATATCGTTTAACGTGCTGTAAAATGTTTACTCGGCTTAGACCATCAACTCACTAAACTTGAGAATCCGGTTTAAACCATGGGCGGCCGACTTGATTCCAACTCAGAATAACATTTTTACCATCTCAGCGTTCTGACATCTGAGCCACCCTGCCACCTCTACCTGGGACTCTCTGTAGAGGGGCGTTTGGTCTTAACAGGAGTTCACCTGGTCGAGGTGAGGGGTCACGACCAACTGATGTGAATCTCTCAACCTCCTGTAACAATGTGGATTACAATGGAACATGACACTTCACCTGTCTTGTCTGTTGCACTCTTTCCACTGCGATGACCCTGTGTCCAGAATGGTCTCCTCCAATGGCACAGACTGTGCAGACCAGACTATCATCTTCTTCACAGTACAACTTGAACTCCTCTCTGTGCTCCCGACACCGTCGATCCTCCAGGTTCGCGATGGGATCCACTATGGCGTGGTCTCTCAACCTGGGATTATCTACATGAGGCCTCAAGTGCCTCACACAGTAGGACATCTCACATCTCAGGCAGGTCTTCACTGCAGGAGTGTGGCCATCACCGCAGATGTCACACAAGATGGCCGCGGCCATCCCGTCTCCAACTCTGAGTTGCTCCACCAGGTTGGCGAGGGCCACGTTCCTCCTCAGCTGGGGTCGCACAGGGAAGGTCGCTCGGCACTGCGGGCAGCTGAAGCTGCTCGCCGTCTCCCAGGCGGCCTCCAGGCACCGCAGGCAGAACGAGTGTCCGCAGCTCAGCGTGGAGGGGCAGACGAACGTGCCTTGGCAGATGTAGCAGCGCATCCCACTATCCACACTCTCACTGGGAGTCGCGCTCGCTATGACCCATGGCTTCGCTGGGATCGCTCGCTGTGTGGCTCAGAGAGACGCTGGACCAGGACCTCTCTCTTATAGCGACGGTGAAGAAGGAAGTAAAATGCTGAAAATATTTTCATTGTCGTCATTGACATCACGAGACACCGCCTGGAATGTGAACCCGCGCCCCAAGGTGCGCAAATAGCAGCCTCAAGGTGAACACGGCTACTATACACACCCTGACATTTATAGAAATGAGTGCTTTTGTTAATATAAATCGATGAGGCTCAGTTACGGTGGCTCATTCGTGCGATCAGAGTCGAGAGATAAAAGCATCCGACTACAACACGTTGGTGGCAAAATGTTATCTCTCTCGCCCGGTATACAGTAAGTAGTGGGTTCGATCCCGACCGTGACGCCTAATTTATATTTAAAGTTTGCGTCTCTCTCTCCTTGGTCGCGTGAATTTTTCTCCGGATTCTCCGGTTTTTCCCTCCGCATTCACAATCAACATCACGCGTTTAGAGTAGTTGGCTGCAATAAGTTTCCACGTGATAAGCCACTTCATTGAGCTATCATTTGTGGCCATGTCGTTTCTGTTAAATAGCCACATTGCTCAGTGAGCCTAACCTGGTAAAATAAATAAATAGTTGGTATAGTTGTAGATATCTCATGATGTCCTTTAACTCCATCTCCGTGTAATTACCTCAACATGATGAGTTGCTTGAATGTCATTGTAGCATCCGAGATGGAATTTGTCTGTAGCCTACCGTGACAGATCCTGGAATCTTGAGCCTTTTGCTAGCAGTGTGAATCTATCACCAACTCTACCTGCCTCCATCACCTACTGCTGGCGATGTCACCGACTCTCACTCTCACCTTGTCCGAGACTGCAGATCCCCGTGCCGGCCATTCACAGCCGCACCCACCGCTTGCTTCACCTGCGTTGTTGTTTCACACTCACACGCACGGATACTCAACACGCATACACACGCAGACTCAAATGCCCATTGGCGTTCACCATGATTGTAAAAAGAGAATACGAATAAAACTAAACTATTTTTATTTTACCAGGTAAAGCCCACTGAAATATGAGCTTATTTTTCATTAGACCTCCGTTGCCAGTACCAAAATATATCGTAGTGTGTTTTTGTTTGCATTTTGACTGCAAGTATTGTGGTTAAGGCAGACATGAATCCTCGTAAAAAGGTTTCATTTTTGTTGCCAGAAAAAAGGGGAAACCCCCTATTATTCGCGTTTTAATACGTTTTTTTTTATATTTGTTGATTATTCCAGGATGTTTCTGTTACGCGTCGTCGCTTTAAGATGTTCTGTGTTCATATTTAGTTTGTTGTGGTTGCACCCGACTTAAGAGCCGCATGGCTCACAGGGCTATACCTAATAAATGAACTTGAACTTGAACTCACAGCAGATAACGAATGCCTTTGACTCTCCACCCAAGTCGGACTTGTGGGAAAACCAGAACCGGATTCTACTGAACACGGCCTGGACTCATCCAATGCGTTTGAATGCTTCCTTCCACAAGGTCACCAATGCGAGCGAAAGGGGTTCCCACGATGTCCACGGCTCATTCCTCGGTGCAGCAGCAGCGACGGCTCAGTGCTCAGTGAGGCGCAGTGGCTCCAGGCCAGGCAGGCAGCGTGATCTGCTGCGGGTTTTGCAGCCAAAACAATCTTAGCAGCATCCCGGGAGAGCCGGTTAGGTGACAGCTCAGCACCCCTCGGGTGCCGAACAGCCCACACCAGGCTACGCATTCAGTTACACTCATTCACTCACACACTTACTCATTTGCGGCTGAGTCGACCTAGGGGAGGCCCAAAACCGGTTCAGATAATTGTCACTGGGTCCGTGAGCAGGAATAGAACCGGGGTCGCCAGGTTCATAGCGCAGTGGACTAAGCGCTACACTACCACTTTCCACACTCATACACACACGCACACACACTCAACAACAACAACCGCCATTCGCCACTGAGTGGCGGTGACGTCACCACGACGCTTGTGCCAGGCCAAGTGCACCTTGAGGCTACGTGAAGTGTCGAACGCCCGCTGGCAGGAGGTCACGGGGCAGACCCAGGTGCCACGGGCCGACGGTCTGTCTCTTTCTTTCTCATTCATCGCTTGAATAAAGCCCTCTTTGTCCCGTCTGTATACTCCCGTACATAAATCTGTCTCTCGTCTGTGTGTCTCTAGTCTGTATATTTCTATTAAAAAAGTCCTCTGTGTCCCGTCTGCGTTGTATATTTGCCTTTTCCAAAAAATAATATTAAGAGTGCTATTGCCTATTTTAACGTAAAAGTTTTTTCTCTCCAAATGTCTGGATTTAGCGTATTCTGAAAAAACGCATAATACGAATTATGTAAATTCTCTACGACCAGAATAATATGTGTTCCAGGGGTGTAACCAGAGCCTGCCCAACCGCCTTTGTCTTCCCAGTGCCTGTCATTGCATGCCGCAGCAGGAATTCATATTAAGGATGAGTCGCCCTAAAGAGGGGGGAAGTCCGCTTCACAATAAACAAGACAAGAGACACACACCACACCAGGGGCAATTAAGAACATCTGCAATCACACATTCTTAATTACACTTAGCACACATTTTAGTTAATCACAATTAATTGCATACGTTAACATATTGAACGTATTTTTTTGTAACTGTTTTATCAATATTTTCAAATATTTTTTTTTATCACGAAATATTTAACAGGGGTCACCAGATATTTGGACCACCCTTGTGCAAGGCACGCAATGGGATGGCCCCCGCAATGTTGACAGCAGTGGTTCTTAACCTTGACCGCAGCCTTGCACCCCCTTTGGTTCTCAATAGTAAAAATGTTGAATAATGTGAATAAATACCTGGGGGTTTGATTAACAAAGGAGTCGTACTTACGGGCCCGTGCCTAATTTGTGTTTCGATGATTTACCTTCTAAACAAGTCTCACACCCCCCAGAAAGGGCATCTCGCACCCCCAGGGGCTGCGTGCACGCCAGGTTAAGAGCCACTGTCTACAGGGAGCGATCTCCGCTCATAAACCACGTGACCCTTGAGGCCTACGTGTCGCCTCCTCCTAAGGACTCCGAGGTAAGGCTCTGTTCGTGGGGTGATCGAGTGGGTGAGTAAGTGGAGGTGAGTGGAGGTGGGTGAGTGGGTAGTAGGCCTCGGCAAGGTAAAAGTTAAAAGGTAAAAACGAGCCTACATTTACCCTACCTTTAACCTTACCACAATACAATCACTCTACCCTACCTTTTACCCTTTAGCAGGTAAGGTAAAAGGTAAAACGCAACGAGCTTACCTTTACCCTACCTTTTACCCTTACCCCATAAAAATTACCCGATTACAGGGTAATTACTAGGGAACTACTACACATGAACAAGGTTTATAACGGTCAATGCTAGGTAGAGCACTTTAATCATGTAGAATACTCTCGATGATTCCAATGTTGCAGGCTTTCATTTAACTCACTCTGTTGTGGTTGTCGTTGTTGTATCCTCTAATCTTGAAACTCAATTTTTACCCACTTCTTAATGTGGTATCGACTGCAAACTTGGTATACTTAGGTCATACTGATGACAATACTATATTCTATCATAAAAAATATATGTTTTTAAACATTATTTTGTATATGTTATGTTTCGGCTTGGGTCTAACTGTCCACGCTCAACTGACGTTGGCTGTAAATCACCACGGTCCCTTACGTTATGGCAAGCCTCGGGGCCACTTCCTGGAGTCGTGGAGTTATGCCATTACTCGTAAATTTTATAAAAGCGTGTTTTTGATAAAGTTTTTTTTAATATTGCTTATTAAATGTAGGCCACGGACTGCGCCACGGAGCTTTTAGCGGTAAACAAGGTACCGTATTTACCGGGTAATACTTTGCGCTTCCTTTAGCCTACCGGGTAATTCTTCCGAGCTACCTTTACCCTGTTACCCTTTACCTTACCCCTTGGCATGTCGACATCTTTACCCCTTTACCCGGTAAAATAAGGTAAATTACCTTACCTTGCCGAGGCCTAGTGGGTAGGTGGGGAAGTGGGTGAGTGGGTGGGTGAAACAGGATGCGTAGCCGGGTGTGTGCTGCTTGGCACCCGAGGGGTGCTGAGCTGTCACCTAACCGGCTCTCCCGGGACGCTGCGAGGATTTGTTGGCTGCAAAATCCGCGGCGGATCGCGCTGCCTGCCTGGCCTGGAGCCACTGCGCCTCACTGAGCACTGAGTCGTCCCTGCTGCTGCACCGAGGAATGAGCCAACTGGGGTGTAGCGTCCAAGGCATTCGTTATCTGCTGTGAACAACCCGCAGAGCCCAGGAGAGCGTCTCCAGGTTCAAGCGGCGTTTAGAGTTCAGTATTTAGATTATTTGGCTGCTATGCATTTCCAATCTGATGAGCCACTTTGTTGAGCTGTCATTTGTGATGGGCAGGTCGCTTTGGAAAATAAGCTAATAGCTCAGTGGGGCATTACACCTGGTAAGATAAACCATTGTTTAGTTTTATTGGTAAAAAAATATTGCAATCATGGTGAACGCCGATGGGCATCTGTGTTGCTGCGTGTGCATGCGTGTTGAGTAGCCGTGCGTGTGAATATGAAACAACAACGCAGGTGAAGCAAGCGGTGGGTGCGGCTGTGAATGGCTGACACGGGGATCTGCAGTCTCGGACAAGGTGAGAGTGAGAGACGGTGACATCGCCAGCAGTGGGTGATGGAGGCAGGTAGAGTTGGTGATAGATTCATACTGCTAGCAAATGACTCAAGATTCCAGGATCTGTCTCGGGAGGCTACACGTATTTTTTTTTTATTAATACGCGCTTTCTTTTAACTCACTCTGTTGCCGTTGTTGTATCCTCAAATCTTGTAACTCAATTTTAACCCACTTACCAATGTGGTATCGACTGCAGACTTGGTATACTTATGTCACACTAATGACAATGCTATATTCTATCATAAAAAATAAAAATATCAATATTTTTAAACATTCTTTTTATATGTTATGTTTCGGTTTGGGTCTAATTGTCCATGGTCAACTGACATTGGCTGTAATTGGCCACGGTCCTTACGTCATGGCAAGCTTCGGGGCCACTTCCTGGAGTCGTGGAGTTCTGCCATTACTAGTACATTTCATAACAGCGTGTTTTAAAAACTTTTTTTAATATTACTTATTTTTCTGATGCCACGATGACATTCAAGCAACTTGTCACGTTGGGGTAATTACACGGAGATGTAGTTACAAGACATCATGAGATATCTACAACTATGCCAACTATTTATTTTAATTTTAGCAGGTAAGACTCACTGAGCTGTGTAGCTATTTTCAGAAACGATCTGGCCACAAATGATGGCTTATCACGTGGAAATGTATTGCAGCCAACTACTCCAAACGCGTGATGTTGATTGTAAATGCGGAGGGAAAACTGGAGGACCCGGAGAAAAATTCACGTGACCACGGAGAGAGACGCAAACTTTAAATAAAAAGCAGGCGTCAGGATTGGTATCAAACCCACGACCTCCTGTATAACGGGCGAGGGAGATAACATCTTTCCACCAACTTGCTGTAGAAGGATGAGTTTATCTCTCGACACTCATCTCACGAATGAGCCACCGCAGCTGAGCCTCACAGATGTATATTAACAACAGCACTCATTTATTTAAATGTCAAGGTGTGTACAGTAGCCGTGTTCACCATTGAGGCTGCTGTTTGCACACCTCAGGGCGTGGGTTCACATTCCAGGCAGTGTCTCGTGATGTCAGTGACGACAATGAAACTATTTTCAGCATTTTACTTCCTTCTTCACCGTCGCTATAAGAGACAGGTCCTGGTCCAGCGTCTCTCTGAGCCACACAGCGAGCGATCCAAGCGAAGCCATGGGTCATGGCGAGCGCGACTCCCAGTGAGAGTGTAGATAGCGAGCTGCGCTGCTCCATCTGCCTGGGCAAGTTCGTCTGCCCCTCCACGCTGAGCTGCGGACACTCGTTCTGCCTGCGGTGCCTGGAGGCCACCTGGGAGACGGCGAGCAGCTTCAGCTGCCCGCAGTGCCGAGCGGCCTTCCCTGTGCGACCCCAGCTGAGGAGGAACGTGGCCCTCGCCAACCTGGCGGAGCAGCTCAGAGTTGGAGACGGGATGGCCGCGGCCGTCGTGTGTGACAACTGCGGTGATGGCCACACTCCTGCAGTGAAGACCTGCGTGAGATGCGAGACATCGTACTGTGCGACGCACTTGAATCCTCACTTGGAGTCACCCAGGTTGAGAGAACACCTCCTGGTGGCTCCTATCGCGAACCTGGAGGAGCGACGGTGCCAGGAGCACAGTGAGGAGCTGAAATTCTACTGCACAGTAGACAGCAGCCTGGTCTGCTCAACTTGCACCATCGCAGGTGAACACAAAGGACATGATGTCACCACGCTGAAGAAGGAGCAGGAGAAACGGAAGGTGTGGCCCTCAGAGTGAGACACTGCAACACGATCTGACCAATTCCGTCACCAGCTACACAACATCTGATGAAAAAAAACTGAATTATGTGTTCATGCTCTCTCTTTTCATCCCCTGCTTGGTGTCTTAGAATACAGCCTCAGGATGTGTTGCATGCCAGGCTCTCACTAAACATAATTCCCGTGTAAAGGAATTAAGTGAATAGAGATGTGAGACTGATGTCACAGCCACCTGTTAGACAATTCTATTAAATGTATTTTCTAAACTAGACAGCTGTGGGCACATGGGATCTTGGGTCCGAGTCGGTACGGACACCAAGTCAGCACGGCTCCCACCGGCTGCTGCTACAACGAGGCATCAGCTTGCCCACTCCGAGTTCCCCTATCTCAGTGGCCGTAGAGAGGCAGCGTGGAGATGAGGGCCTTCGCTGTGGAGGGATCGTTGTGGAGGGAAGGGCGGTGTGAGGGGTGGCTCAGGGGGCTGAAATCTCCACCAGGTGACGTATCGTCTCTCACTACAGACGCGCGTAGGGGAGGAGACGCGAGCGGTGGAGGAGAAGAGGAAGAAGGCAGAGGAGTCCGTGAAGTGGATGGAGGCCGCTCGCAAGGAGGCACAGGTACCGTGTCCGGCCCGGACTCTTTGACCCCTGTGACCTCCAACCAGTGTGGAAGTCGTGGAGGTCAAAATTCATTCAAGCGAACTTCGTGCAGCTTCATAACTTTGACGCCTGTTAATTACATCATTCACTATCAAACTCAACATTAACTACAAGTGGTTTGCACCTTTACAGGATTCGATAACCGCATCGGCGAGTCTGCCGCGAGGTTGGGTTACTCGGCTTTGCGTCTTCCACCCCTGTGGACAAAAAAATGTAGAGAGTGCCACGGATTGTCGGGCTGGAGCTGTGGTGCAGCTGTTGCACTGCACGGGAGGTCGCGCACCGGCACGGACGCAGAGGCACAAACACCACACAGCTGCACCTCATTCCGTCCCTAATCGCGTCCCCGCAGTTTGTTTAAACTACAACTATTTTTATTTTACCAGGTAAGGCTCCAATGAGCGATGTAGCTCTTTTTCAGAAGCGACCTGGAAATCACGAATAACAGATCAACCAAATTGTTGATATCATCATTATCACGTGGAAATGTATAGCAGCAGAAAAATATACATAGAGACCCATATCGATCCATAGACACCCATAGAGATACTAGACCCATAGAGATACCTAGACACCCTAGAGACACACAGATATACAGAGATATATAGAGACCCCGAGAGAGGCTTAGAGACCCATAGACTAAAATCATTTTTATTTTACCAGGAATGGCTCCACTGAGCTACGTACTTCTTTTTTCAGAAGCGACCTGGCTATTACAAATTATTGCTCAACAAAGTGGCTAATTGTAACGTGGATTTTGATAGCAGCCAAATACTCTGAACGCGCGACGTTGACCCTAAATGTGGAGGCATAAACAGGGGGACCCGGAGAAAAATCCATACGACTACAGAGAGAACAAACTCCAAATATACAGGCGTCAGGATCAGGATCGAACCCAGACCTGCTGTATACCAGGCGAGGGAGTCAACATCTCCTAGCCACCACAGCGCCCACACGCACACACGGAGTGGCTCATGGCTCAGGGAGCCAACCGTGGTGCCCACGTCTCCGCAGGAATCGGTGGCCGGGATCAGGGGTCGCATCACGGGCAAGTTCGCCCGCCTAAAGAAGGCTCTGGACGAGGACGAGAGGGAGGCTCTCCAACGCGTGGCCGTGAAGGAGCGCGAGCTGCTGTCCCGGATAGACGAGGACATCGCTCGTCACAAGCGGGAGATCAGCGAGCTCCAGGCGGCGGCCGCTCGGCTGCACGCTCTGCAGCACGAGAAGGACTCGCTCGCCTTCCTGCAGGTGGGGAGCGCCTCTGTGGAGACGCCGTTTGGGTGTCCAGAACAACAGAGCGGGCAGTGGCAGAGGGGCTCATGGTGCAAGGTTAGAGATGTCACTCATGATCCCTCCCTGTCTCTTCTCTCTTCCACAGGGGCACCTGGAGGAGACGCGCAGGTACAGATACTTAACGTCTCACGGTTAAACACTCACAACACAGTATGTGTGTGTTAGACACACGGGCTGTGTGTCTTAGACACAGGGTGTGTTTGTGTGTGTGTTAGACATGCTGGCTGTGTGTGAGACACGGGCTGTGCGTGAGACACGGGCTGTGCTTGAGACAATGGCTGTGTGCGAAACACTGGCTGTGTGCGAGACACAGGCTGTGTGCGAGACACGGCCTGTGTGCGAGACACGGCCTGTTTGTGAGACACGGCCTGTGTGTGAGACACGGGCTGTGTGTGAGACATGGGCTGCGTGAGACACGTGCTGCGTGTGCTATGGATGCTGAGTGTTACAATGATGTGGTTAAACGAGGCTGTGTGTGATGCTGTTTGTGGTTGTCACAGGAGAGAGATCCCAAAGGAATCTGCACCCCCACCTCCCACTTCACTGGACGTCACCACGATCCGCTCCCTTGAAAGGGCCATGCGCAGACTCCTGCCTCTCGTCTGTGAGTTCCTCAGTCTTGCACCCGCGTGTCCCGCTCTGTTGCACTACAGTTATGTGCTC